AGTGTCATTGGGAGTGAGTTTGTTCAAGAGTCTGACAGCTTCTTCCTCACAACAGCCCTGCGAGGTAAGCAGGGAGGCCGAGAGAGACTGCTGGCCCAGGGTCACCCGCTGAGCTTTGTCTGGACTTTGGACTGTAGAACTGCAGTCATCACCGCTATGCAGGTGTCAGGTAGCTCTGAGGTAGGGTCGCCAGCAGTGCTCCCTCTAAGCTGTGGAGTCGTGTGTGCAAAAATTCTACTTTGTGAGCGACGGGCATTAAAACTGTGAGGAAGCGATCTGGCTGCTGCATAGTTTGCTCTTCCTGAGCAAAGACAAGAATGTGTGAGCTGGAGGCTAAAAAACTGTGAGCTGGCTCACATTGGGGAATTTCAGACAGCCGATATATCCCGGTTCAGGAACTGTTCCCTAATGGTTTCTGCTCTGACATTTCAGACAGAACCGTTTTAGTAATGGTTCGCTACCAGAATATATTTTCGCTTTCAGACAGAAATGCTTCTGTCCCGTTGGGGAAGCGTTTCCGAACCGTTTCACCTGCAAACTGCTTCCAAGCGGTCGTCACTTTTCTATACTGTTTCTGAAGCGCAACGGGGTGCTGTGTAAAAGGCCCCGTAGTGCTTCCTCCTGTGCCGCTTTGTTTTCCCGCCCTTTTTCGCCCGCGAGGGCGATCTCTGTCCTGTTCTTGTTGGGAACGTTAGTTTTAGAGCGCTATAGCAGTATAGCGCTCTAAAACGAACGGTTTTTTTTTTAAAAAAAGGACGGAGATCGCCCACGCGGGCGAAAAAGGGCAGGAAAACAAAGCTGCACAGACTGAAAGGCCATACTGCTTCAGAGACGGCTCCTTACCGGTAGGGGAAAGGCTGTGTGGAATGGCCGCCCTGTACCGGTTTACTCCAAGATGGTACAATAACGGCTTAAAAAGGGTAATGTGAAATTCCCCATTAACTCAGCTTAGAGGGAACACTGGTCGCCAGCCTCCAGGTGAGACCTTAAGATCTGGAATTATAGCTGATCTCCAGGCAGCAGACGTCCGTTCCCCTGGAGAAAATGGCCGCTTCGGAGGGTGGGCTCTAGGGCATTGTACCTGCTAGGGCTCCTTCCCTCCCCCAAATCTCCAGGATGGCCCCAACCCAGCGTTGGCACCGCCAGGGGTCATTTCGTAGGAAAAGAGGTGCAGGAGCTCATTGGCATAACTTATTAACATAACTTGTTTGCATATGTCACACCCCCTGACATCACTGGAAGTGTGTCAGAAGGCAACACCCACCGCTCAGGCTCCACTGGACTGTTTTGGATTGCTAGCTATTGAGGGGCTTCTTGCTCCTCGTGGCCCGGGGCTGCTGGGAGCAGGGGGCAGGGCTTGTTGCATGTGGCTGCCTTCGGCAGCAGCCATTTCTTAGGAGCACTTTTGTGTCTACCCCCACCGTGCCATGCAGGGGTCATTTCATAGAAAAAGAGGTGTAGGGGCTCATTAGCATCACTCATTAGCATAAGTTATTTGCATATGTCACACCCCCTGACATCACTGGAAGTGTGTCAGAAGGCAACACCCACCGCTCAGCCTCCACTGGACTGTTTTGGATTGCTAGCTATTGAGGGGTGGGGGGAACGTGCAGATCTGTCCTCGCAGAGGAGGGAGAGCTTGTACCTGAACAAAACCTGGTCTTAAAGGTGCCACTGGACTGTTTTGGACTGGGGGGCCGGGGGGGGGCTCTGCAACTTACCTGGCTGCTTCTTGCTCTGACTGAGGGCTGCTGGGAGCAGGGGGTGGGGCTTGCTGCATGTGCCCGCCCCCTGGGCTCTTTACTGCCGGAGCTCCGCTCCTGTGCACTCCTGCAGGAAATGACTCCTGGGCAACGCTACCCCGAGGGCCAAGGGAAACGGGTGCAGTCAACGCTCCCTCTAAGCCGTGGCGTCCTGTAAGCCAAAATTCTACTTTGTGAGCTATTGGCATTGAAGTTGTGAGCGCACAACTTGGCTGTTGGATAAATTACTCCGCTCTGGAGCCCTCCTGCCTGAGCGAAGACAAAAATGTGTGAGCCGGAGGCTAAAAAACCGTGAGCTAGCTCACGCTAACTCAGCTTAGAGGGAACACTGGTGGGTCGCCATATTGGAACAAAGTTTGAGTCCAGTGGCACCTTTAAGACCAACGAAATTTCATTCAGGATATAAGCTTTAGTGTGCACACGGAAGCTTGTACCCAGAATTAAACTTTGCTGGTCTTAGAGGTGCCCCGGCCTTGTTCCTGTATTGTGATGGTTACTTCTATTGCAACCCTTGCGACGTTTGACAGAGCAGCATAAACAACCAGAACTTCTGTCACACAGGTGGGACTCCAACAGATACACCTGCTGGATTTTTTGGTTTCTTTTTTTTTACTTCTTAAAGAAGAACTGTGTTCACAGAGCGCTGCCGTCGATAAAGGGACCAATATTGCCATCTGCTGGTCATTTCATTGCGTAGCGTCACTGTTGTTGAGGATTCTTTTTGGAGAAGGGCAAGTTAATCGGGAAAGTTTCTGTATTTCCCCAGCCCTCCTCCAGCGCTCTAACTGCCGGACCACGCTGCCATCTCAGTAGGAGAACTCTGCTTACAAGACCTTGTCTCCAGATGTCAAGAGGCAGGTGGGCTCCCAGATGGGCCACCGGTCAGATCCTGTCAGTGGTTAGGAGCGCGGACTCTCATCTGGGAGAACCGGGTTTGATTCCCCACTCCTCCACATGCACCTGCTGGTGTGACTTTGGGTCAGTCACAAGTTCTTTCAGAACTGTTCTCTCAAGGGCAGTTCTCTCAGAGCTCTCTCAGCCCCACCTACCTCACAGGGTGTCTGTTGTGGGGAGGGGAAGGGAAAGGAGTTTGTAAGCCACTCTGAGACTTTGAGTGAAGGGCGAGGTGTAAATCCAATATCATCATCGTTTTCTCTTAGGTTCCAGCGACCAAACTCCTCCCCACGACATCTTTGAGCATTTCTCGACATAAGAACATAAGAGACGCCAATGTTGGATCAGGCCAAAGGCCCATCCAGTCCAACACTCTGTGGCACACAGCGGCCAAAAATACCAGGTGCCATCAGGAGGTCCAGCAGTGGGGCCAGGACACTAGACGCCTTCCCTCTGTTGCCCCCCCCCCCCAAGCACCAAGAATACAGAGCATCCCTTGCCCCACACTGAGAGTTCCTATCTATACCTTGTGGCTAATAGCCACTGATGTACCTCTGCTCCATATGCCTATCTAATTCCCTTTTGAAGCCGTCCATGCCTGTAGCCGACACCACTTCCTGTGGCAGTGAATTCCATGTGTTAATCACTCTTTGGGTGAAGAAGTACTTCCTTTTATCCATTCTAACCCAACCGCTCTGCAATTTCATGGAGTGCCCACGGGTTCTTGTATTGTGAGAAAGGGAGAAAAGTACCTCTTTCTCTGCCTGCTCTTTCCCATGCATAATCTTATAAACCTCGATCATGTCACCCCTCAGTCGTCGTTTCTCCAAGCTAAAGAGCCCTACGCGCCTTAACCTTTCTTCATAGGGAGAGTGTTCCAACCCTTTTATAATTTGAGTTGCCCTTTTCTGAACTTTTCCCAAAGCTATAATATCCTTTTTAAGGTGTGGTGACCAGAATTGCACACAGTACTCCAAATGAGGTCGCACCATTGATTTATATAGGGGCATTATGATACTGGCTGATCTGTTTTCAATACCCTTCCGAATAATCCCCAGCATAGCGTTGGCCCTTTTTTATTGCCAGAAAAATCCTCCGTTTTCTCACAACCCTGTGAGGTAGGCCAGGTTGAGAGTTTGCGACGGGCCCAAGGTCACCCAGCAAGCTTCCAGGGTTGATGCGGGGCATGTTTGTGGGTTGTGACATATTTATAACCCGTGACTCTTCCTCTCTCCCCACCTCCCCTCCCCTTTCTCTCGGCTTCCCCCCGCAGGCTGGTGGAAGAGTTTATGCTTTTGGCCAACATGGCCGTGGCCCACCAAATCTACCGCTCCTTCCCAGCCCGGGCCCTCCTGCGGCGCCACCCGCCGCCCCTGACCAAGATCATGAACGACCTCTCAGAGTTCTGTAGCCAGATGGGCCTGGAGATCGACTTCAGCAGCGCCGGGGCTTTGCATGTGAGTCCAAGTGTGCGCGTGCGCGATCGCATGGGTGTGTGCGTGTGCCTCAGGGCTGCCCAGTCTCCTGGTGGGAACAAAAAGGTGGAAACTCTCCTTGAAAGTTTGTAAGTCTAGAGCAGTGTTCCCTCTAAGCTGAGTTAGTGTGAGCTAGCTCTCACTTTTTTAGCCTCCGGCTCCCACATTTTCGTCTTTGCTCAGGAAGGAAGGCTCCAGGGCAAACTAATCTATGCAGTAGCCAAATCGCTCGCTCACCACTTTAAGGCCAGGAGCTCACAAAATAGAATTTTTGCTCATGAGACTCCACAGCTTAGAGGGAACATTGGGCTAGAGTCGTTCTGCCTGCTTGATTTGATACCGTTGGGTTGTGAATTTGCCCAGAGGCCTTAAAAAGGTAAAGGCGAAGGTCTGGAGCAGACTGCTATGTGTAATTTTATCAAGCTTTGTATTTTTTTCTCTATGAAGGACTAAGTGTGCTTTTCATTAAGAAAGGCAAAGGTTTCCCTCGCTCGAAAGCCAGTCGAATCCGACTCTTGGGTTGCGGTGCTCATCTCCGTTTCCAAGCCGAAGAGCCAGCGCTGTCCGAAGACGTTTCCGCGGCCATGTGGCCAGCATGACTAGACGCTGAGGCGCACGGAATGGTGTTGCCTTCCCACCGAAGCGGTACCTATTGGTCGACTTGCAATTTCTTGTTTTCAAACGGCTGGGTTGGCAGGAGCTGGGGCCAGAGACGGGAGCTCACTTCGTCACGCAGTACTTGGGTCTCAAACTGCCTAACTACGGACCTTCCGGTCTGCAGCTTCAGCATCTTAACCTCTGAGCCACTGCGGGTCAGAGGTCTTGGACTCCACTTAATATAAAACAGCATTTTGATTTGGGCATGGTCGTTGAACTCACTATACCCTTTGACGACGGATTGTCTTCAAAACAGTCTTGATATTACGTACGATACCGTTGGGGTATGCTGGACACAGTTATTTTCTCTGTGGACTGTTTTTGCCCCTAGGAGGGCTCGTATCTGTGGACTATTTTGGATCGTATCCCTTTAAGAACCATCATCCTGTGGTTTGTGTGACTTTAGGATGTGCATGAGGGGCTGTATGTATTTACACATTCAATATATTTAATATATTCCTATGAGTATCATCATTTTGTGGAGAGTTTCCTCCTTTTCAGAGCTGCGGTGGCTCAAGTGGTTAAGACGCTGAACTGCAGGCTGTGGAAGGTCGGTAGTTCAGCAGTTCCAGACCCGGGTGCCGCATGACGGAGTGAGCTCCCATCTCTAGTTCCAGCTCCTGCCAACCTCGCAGTTCGAAAGCAAGAAATTGCAAGTAGATACATAGGTACCACTTCGGTGGGAAGGTAACAGCGTTCCGTGCACCTCGGTGTTTAGTCATGCCGGCCACATGACCCCGGAAACGTCTTCGGACAGCGCTGGCTCTTCGGCTTTGAAACGGAGATGAGCACCGCAACCCTAGAGTCGCATTCGACTGGCTTTTGACCAAGGGAAACCTTGACCTTGACCTTCCACCTTTTCATTTGAAGATTTACACTCTCCCTCCCCAGTTAGTCTCCAGCTGGGACCTGGAGATCTCCTGGAATCACGGCAGATCTCCCGGCTACAGAGATCAGTGCCCCTGGAGAAAAGGGCCGCTTTGGAGGGTGGACCGTCTGGTACTCGACCCCGCTGGGATCCGCCCCCCAGACTACACTCTCCCCACGCTCTGCTTCCAAAAGAGTTTTTGGATAAACATTACACCTCCTGATGGCCCCTGGTATCTTTGGCCACTGTGTGACAGAGAGTGTTGGACTGGATGGGCCATTGGCCTGATCCAACACTGGCTTCTCTTATGTTCTTGTGTGGAGCAGAGGTCCATCAGTGGCTATTAGCCCCAAGGTATAGATAGGAAGTCTCAGTCTGGGGCAAGGGATGCTCTGTCTTCTTGGTGCTTGGGGGGTGGGGGGCAACAGTGGGAGGGCTTCTGGTGTCCTGGCCCCACTGCTGGACCTCCTGATGGCACTGGTATTTCTGGCCACAGAGTGTTGGACTGGATGGGCCATTGGCCTGATCCAACATTGGCTTCTCTTATGTTCTTAGGTTCTTATGAACAGGCTTCCTTGGGAGGTGGTGGGCTCTCCTCCTTTGGAGGTTTTCAGACAGAGGCTAGATGGCCATCTGACAGCAATGATTAGGCAGATCACGAGAAGGGAGGGCAGGAAGGGTTGCCTCAGCGCTTAGTTCTTGTGAAGAAGAGAAGAAGAGATTGGATTTATACCCCGCCCTTCACTTGGAGTCTCAGAGCGCCTTACAAACTCCTTTCCCTCCCCCTCCCCACAACAGACACCCTGTGAGGCAGGTGGGACCGAGAGAACTCTGACACAAACTGCTCTTTTTCAAGGACAGCTGTGCCAGAGCTTGTGACTGACCCAATGTGGCCCTTTCTTACACGCCCAGGGAAATGCCGATCGCCACATTGGAGTCAGGAAGCAGTTTTTCTCCAGGCCACTTTGGCTGTGGATCCTGGGGTGTGTGTGTGTAATCTTCTGAGCATAGAGTAGGGGTCAGGGGGCATGGTCGGGGGGAGGGTATTTGTGGATTTCCTGCATTGTGCCGGGGGTTGGACTAGATGACCCTGGAGGTCTCTTCCAACTCTATGATTCAATGAAATCTCCAGGAGTTTCCCAGCCTGGAGCTGCCATGCCATATAAGGTCAAGGTTTCCCTTGCTCAAAAGCCAGTCGAATCCGACTCTAGGGGGCGGTGCTCATTTCCGTTGCCAAGCCGAAGAGCCAGCGCTGTCCGAAGACGTTTCCGCGGTCATGTGGCCGGCACGACTAGACGCCGAGGCGCACAGAATGCTGTTAGCGCACGGAAGGCTGTGTCCGCCCGTCAAAGACGGGTAGTGGGTTTGGGATCAAGCGACGTGCCCAAGGTCGTTGAGAGAGTCTGTGGCAGGGGAAAGCCTCGAGTCAGGATCTGCGCACCGCGCTAACCGAGGAGTGTCTTTTGTCTCCCCTCCCCAGAAAAGCCTGAGTGAAACTTTCGGGACCGGCAGATACGCCGAAGCCAAGAAGTCTGTGCTGACCAACATGTTCTCCAGGCCCATGCAGGTAAGGACCAAGCTGCTACGGGGATGGACTTTACAGATCCAGTCAGCTAGTAGCAGTGCCTTCCCCTAACCCGCCGGGCTGGAAGAAGAAGAGATTGGATTTATACCCCGCCCTTTCCTCTGAATCTCAGAGCGGCTTACAAACTCCTTGCCCTTCCCCTCCCCACGACAGACACCCTGGGAGGTGGGTGGGCTTGAGAGCAGTGTTCCCTCTAAGCTGAGTTAGTCTGAGCTAGCTCACAGTTTTTTAGCCTCCGGCTCACACATTTTTGTCTTAGCTCAGGAAGGAGGGCTCCAGAGCAAACTAATTTATGCAGTAGCCAAATTGCTTGCTCACAACTTTAGGCCAGTACCTCACAAAGTTGATTTTTTGCTCACGAGACTCCACAGCTAAGAGGGAACATTGCTTGAGAGAGCTCTGAGAGAACTGCTCTTGAGAGAGAGAACTTGTGACTGACCCAAGGTCACACCAGCTGCTGCGAGTGGAGGCGTGAGGAATCAAACCCGGCTCTCCCAGATTAGAGTCCATGCACTTAATCACTACACCAAACTGGCTCTCAGAAGACCGAGAACCGAGACCGAGTTTCCACTTCAGGGAAGGGCATTATAATCGGCAGAACTCTAAAGGAGGCTCGCCTAGTCAGAGTTTATTAAGCAGTCCGGGATTGTGGGGAATAAAATGACGACCCAACATCGGGCTGACCCCAAGCTTGGGTTCCGTGACTCTTTCTCAAGCCCTGTGGCTTTTCGAGGGTCCCAAGAATAGCACCCCAAGCTGGACAGGAGCAAAGAACAAGGGTTGGGTTTTTTTTGGGGGGGGGAGTCACGTCAAGCTCGTGGCCGGCCTTCTTCTTCCCACAGGAGGGAAGATCTGAGTTGACCTGGCTTTGAGTTATTACAGGCATGATCTTTAAGATCCAGCAACGGAGAAGTCAGGCCCTCAGAGATGAATTCTTCCCTTAATCTCTGTGATGGATTGCCCCTCCCTGGGGGTGGGGGGACGTGGCCCCCGCTTCCCAGTCTGAGCCGAGGTAGGTTTGTGGAGAGGAATTTGGGCCCGGCGTGCTCCACGAAAGGTCATGGAGACCTCGGACGGTCTGGGGCTCCCCGGCCAACAGCCGTCGCCCATGCCGGATCCCTCGTTCCCGGCCTCCCGATAGAAACCTGCCGCGTCGTCCCGGCCCATCTGTGAAACCCATCGGCCATACATCACCTGGGCCTGCCGGACCCTGAGCCGAGAGCCCAGCCGCAGCCTCTTTTGCAGGCTTCCTCGTCTCTGACCTGGATCCAAAACAAGCACGTTCTCCCGTCTTGGCAGGGGCAGGAGGGCGGAAGCAGCAGACTCCCCCTTGGAATGCCATCGATACGTTATTTAATCAGGTGACTTGGCGCTTTCTGCCCCTCTCTGTGAGTGCTTCAGAACCCTCCGCGTCTTATCCCAGCAGCCACTGCAAACCCTCCTCCTCCTCCTTCTCAAGTCAGGTTGCCAGACTCCAGGTGGGGGCTGGAGATCTCCCACTGTTAAAACTGGCTCAACATGAGGAAGAACTTTCTGACAGAACAATTCCTCAGTGGAACAGGCTTCCTCGGGAGGTGGTGGGCTCTCCTTCTTTGGAGGTTTTCAGACAGAGGCTGGACGGGCATCTGACAGCAATGCGAATTCTGTGAACTGAGGCAGATCATGAGAAGGGAGGGCAGGAAGGGTTGCCTCAGTGCTTAGTTCTCGTGGCCCTTTCTTACACGCCCAGGGAAACGCTGATCCCCACTTTGGGGTCCATCAGTGGCTATTAGCCACAAGGTATGGATAGGAACTCTCGATCTGGGGCAAGTGATGCTCTGTCTTCTTGGTGCTTGGGGGGGGCAACAGCTGGAGGGGGCTTCTAGTGTCCTGGCCCCACTGCTGGACCTCCTGGTGGCACCTGGTCTTTTTGGCCCCTGTGTGACACAGAGTGTTGGACTGGATGGGCCTTTGGCCTGATCCAGCGTTGGCTGCTAGTCTGTCCTGATGTCCTGATGCCCTGCCTGCAACAGCCCTCCCCCAAAGAGGCCCTGACCTGCCCCTTCTCTCTTCCAGATGGCCGTCTACTTCTGCACGGGGGTGCTAGAGGACGAGGCCCTTTTCCACCACTACGCCCTGAACGTTCCCCTGTACACCCACTTCACCTCGCCCATCCGCCGCTTCCCGGACATCCTGGTGCATCGACTGCTCTCCGCTTCTCTCGGTAGGTTCTCTGAAAGAAGCTGCCGGCTGGCGGGCTGGGCCGGGGTGCTCAGGAAAGGGTCTCGATGGAAGAGGGGGAGCTGAGATAAGCCACATTTGGTCGGAAGCTGCCTTCTACTGAATCAGACCTTTGGTCCATCAAGGCCAGTATTGTCAACTCAGACTGGCAGCAGCTCTCCAAGGTCTCAGGCTGAGGTCTTTCCCACCACCTCCTCCCTGGTCCTTTTTAACTGGAGATGCCGGGGATTGAACCTGGGACCTTCTGCATGCCAGGCAGAGGCTCTTCTACTGAGCCACAGCCCCTCTTCACAGCTCTCCAGGGTATCAGGCTGAGGTCCTTCACACCACCTCCTCCCTGGTCCTTTTTAACTGGAGATGCCGGGGATTGAACCTGGGACCTCCTGCATGCCAGGCAGAGGCTCTTCCACTGAACCATGGCCCCTCTTTACAGCTCTCCAGGGTCTCAGGCTGAGGTCTTTCCCATCACGTCCT